GATGAAGCAGCTTTTACTAGTTTTAACTCACTCTAACTGAGTTTTATAAGTTCAGTAAAATTCCTGATGAAGTACTTTTTACTGGGTTTACCAACAACTGACGTAAATTAGCTAGCTAGTTAGCATTTTGCGAAGATGAGGTTTTAGCTGTGCTAGCTAACCATCGAGCTAATGATTGATGGAGATTAGCTACCTGATCAAGAATGTTTTAATCTTAATCTTAATATTAAGTTAGTTTTACTTCAAATTTTTGACCTAAACAGCTTCAACAACTTTGTTTTGTATAATTATAATTAACTTATCCTATTAGCTGACTGTTACCGGGGGGTGTTTAGCACAGGAGGCGAGGGGCCGAGCTGCCGGCGAGCGGGGCCACAATGAGCACCAGAGCCAGAGCGGCTGGTGACCACGGCCGGGACCCAACACTGGTGATGTGCAGCGGCTACGACCAAGACTGTGACTCTGGGGATGATGAAGACACGACGGGTTTAGGAGGGGGCAGTTATGTTAACGGTTACCGTACTAAAGCCGTAGGTACGCTGTAGACTGACGTGGACCTCCACAGAAATGTAACTACACACTGCACAGACAGCGACAACGACAAGCGGTCCGCTGGGTGTCCATGTTCAGATAATGGGGAGTTACATTCAAACACACACACAGGCAGTAATGGGACGCTGCATGCTCCTCTCTGCCCCCTCATATTCCCTCGTCCTGTCCTTTTACAGGCGGTGGGAGGAATAAAATGAAGACAGCTCGAGGAGAGAGACGAGGGAGAGTTTGAGTTTCAGTGGCACAGAAACCTCCACCAGCGACAGTTTAGGCAGTTAGACGCAGAGACACCAGCACACCAAATACTCCGAATGCTGCAGGTAACTTACATAAGGTTTAAATCCAACCCTGTCTGTCCTGTTCATTTCTCCAACTGTTGCTGTCCTATAAAACATAAAATCCCCCAAAATATCTACCACTGTATAATAATAGAATATATAATATATAGTAATTAACATTATTATAAATGTGTCGCTGTGTTTTCAGTGTGAATTTCCCTGATTACCTTAATCTAAAAATAATTATCCTATTTTGCTGCCCTGGACTTTTATACCAGTATGGTATCAAAGTATAAACCTCTGCTAAAGACCGTTTGGTGGTATGTCTCAGGTAATGTGTGTTTCTTTATGTGTGATTTACAGCCTAATATTACGCTATATTACAGTTCATTAAGTTGTATTCTTAATCAAATCAAATATGGTTCGCTCGTCGTTACAGTTGGACCACCGATAGATTTATAGTTCTTGTTCTCGTTGGGGACGTTCCAGATCCAGATTTCTCTGTTCAGGAAAACAGTTTCTCCTGTCAACAAATCGCTAAAGAAACCAATAATAAATTTATTGTTTATGAAATGATCTGTGCAGCCGCAGCCTGATGCAGCTCATCCCTCTGTGCCATACAGCTTCATTACTGGTGCACCTGGATCTGATCTTCCTTCACGACATTAAACCTGACAGACAGCTGCAGTGTTTCTGACCCGTCTGTCTGTCTGAGGGCACAGAAGTGTGTCAAGGACAGACAGACAGACAGGTTCACAGCCCTGCACAGTCTTCACACTAGTGATGGTTTACGAGTCGAGGGAGTTTAACCTGACGGACTCCTCCATATGTTACATCCAGCACGGTGTGTCGTCCTGACCAGACCAGGTCCTCAGAGCTGGCTCACGTCCAGGTTCATTGATCTTAAAGCTAATTTTAGACCCTCTCACTTCCTCTCCAGCTCACTCAACAGCCATAATGTCTGAGGTTGTTGCAGTCCGGCTCTGGAGGCCCCAAGAGGCTATCGAGCCGGCTCTCGAACTGCCTACGAGTCTGTGAACAGCTGCAGGGACGCTGCCGACGCTGCCTCAGCAGGCAGGAAGCCAAAAATAACTCCTCACCTACGGCAGCAGGAAGACATGTGGTGACAGAGGATCTCTGAGGTCCTCTGAAGGATTCAAAACCACCAGCAAAACCAGGACTAGTTTCAGTTCACAGGACTAAAATCCACTGCTACTGACAGACGTTTACAGGGGAATGAAATAATTTACTGGGAGACTGTGGGCAGCAGTACAGGTTGTAAACACATCACCTGTCATATTATCACACAGCACTGGATGCTAACATCAAACAGCGTCCTGCTTCCACATGCAGCAGCATCTCATTGGAGCGTTTGTGTCCACCAATAGAGCGTTTGTAGTCCAACCCAGAAGTAATTGTCGTCCTGCTTCCTTCCACAAAAAGACAACGATGCAGATGTTTTTAGGTGAAGCCCTTTTTTAAAAAAGGTGCCAATCTGCCATGTTGGTCATTTGTAAAGTAAAAATTCCACCGCAAATGACCGACCATATCCGTTAAAAGCCCCTCGGGGTTGCTCCGCTCAATTCAGATTTCACCCCACTGCACAAGGCTCACCGCTTCGCTCCGAAAAATTTAAAAAAACCTGCGTAGTATTTTAATTGTATGATAAAGCTGCATGTGTCACTGATCCATGAACACATAAGTCATATATTTTATTATAAAGATCATCTGACAGTCAGACTCACACTCCAGCTGATCAACAATGAATGTGAAAGAGTGGGAATGATCCCGGTGACACGATGAGGAGTCCTTCCCATATCCTCCCTGTGATCATATTAGTGAATCAGCGTCTAATTTGTGGTTGTATTTTTTATCAATGCAAGGTATCAAACTAGTAATAAAATGACAGAGCAGCAGAGGAAGCAGTGCTGCACCTAAAACACATTTTAGTTCATTAGGAAATCTGTGGCGAGCACAAACGTCGCAGTCTGCGTAGTTTCAGTTAGCAGTGGCGCTCACTCACAGAGCTGTCGGACATCACAAAGCAACTTTCAAGCTTTTTCCTTTCCCCTGTCTCCAAGGTCTTGCTCATGGTGGTAACTGTTGGGTCTCTGTAAATGTTATAAGCAGAACGGTCTAAACCTGATCTACTTGAAAGGTGTCCTGAGATAACTTCTGTTATGAATTGGCGCTAATTGAAAATGTCCTTTCCTTTGACTTTGTTAAATACCTGCAGCATCAGCAGCAGGAACCAAACACACGGCTTTAAGATGAGACAGGTGTGTGCAGTTCAGCCTGTGGCACAGCAGCAGGTAGCTTCACTAACATGCCGACCGACTGCAGGATAATGTCAGTAAATGCCAGTAAAGTGAACAAGGCTTTAGATGTAAAAATATTCTGGCTCTACACACTGTTGCTGCCTCTCGCCTCCCATCCCCGGAGTCAGAGTCCTGGTCGTAGCCACTGTAAATCACCTCAGTGCCGTATTAAAATATTGTTTATTAACAAACCATCTTAAACTGCGGTTGTGTCTCTAACATACTGCTTGGTTTAGCCGATCTACAGGACAGCACAGATTTTGAGGATATTTGGCCATTTTAATCCATTTCCAGGTGTTTCCATGAGTGGAAAACTAGTCTCTAAATTCAAGGTTTCCCAGTTATTCCAGGACGTATGGGAACCCTGATCTTAGCGCATGATATCAGACATCTTATAAAACCTCATATTGTGATTATTTTGATGGATATTGAGACTGATTAATGATGACAGCTGTCTTTCCTCTCACTCGGCTCAGTGTACTGCGACAATGAACGTCTGTCACCGAGCAGAGCATCAAACATTAAATAACAGAAATCAGCCAAAAGTACAACAATCGCAGATAATCAATGTATTCATCCAACCCTTCTACCAATAGATAAAAATGATCAGTAGTGTATCTGTAACTCCTCCTGTGGGCAGCCATACATGGAGGCTGCTGTATGAACAGACAGTGAAACAGCTGGAATAATATAGAATATCTTCACAGGAGAAGTTAGAATTGCTGACAAATGCGGTACCTGAATAACCCTTTAATAACGTTGCAGTGTTCAGTAAAGTGTCTCCAGCAGTTTATCATAATGAGCTCATACACAGAATCAACAGTTTTCACATGGATACCGAACCAAACAGCGACACATTAAATCAGCACCGTGTGGAGTTCACAGGATGTTTAAATGATATGAAAACACATAAACGTGCCGCCGGCTGCAACAGGAAGGACACCGAGCCGGCTGTAACGGAGCCACAGTGAACGCAGCATGCAGCAGCAGTCAGCGTTTATTCAGCAAAGTGCTGGATCAAGTTCCAGCTGCAGGGCTGCATGCACGCAGCGCTGCCAGGAGCCGGGGACAAACTTTCATGCACATCCCCTCCCATCCCCTCCCATCCCCCCAAAACCCGCCACCTGAGGACAGAGGTGGGGGTGGGGGGGAGTCGATGGTCCCAAAACCACAGACACAAAGTTGAGGCAACATGCCGCAGGAAGCCAGGTATGACAAGTGGGTCACATGACACGGACAGAAACAGAGAGAGAGAGAGAGGAAGAGACGGTACCTCGATCACAGCTGTTCCCCATCATCTGAGGAGAGGACACACAGAGTCAGACGGGATTGGCCAAAGCAGCCGCCACCTGTCAGCCAATGAGGTTAAGCTGCAAACGTCCGTCTTCGTCCCGCGAACATCCTCGACTTGGCGTCCCCCCCCTCACGGACCTCCTCAGCCACCGCATCCTCCTCTCTCCTTCCTTTCACGGGTCCGCCTCTCCAATCTCTGCCCTTCTCCCTCTCTCTCTACCGCCCGCTCTCCACTCAGCAGTAATTCTAAACTCGCTCGCTCGCTCGCTCGCTCTCCTCTCAGAGGTTTTACCGCATTTATTCAATCAATCCCTCTAACTGCACTGTTCTGCTCTCTCTCCTTTCTCACATCTTATTCTCTCTGCAGACCCTTCTCTCTCTCTCTCTCTGTCTCTCCCTCTCTCTCTGCAGCAGCTCAGTTGCAGCCTCACTCTCTCTCTTGCTCTTTCTCTCTTCCTCTCTTCCTTCGGAGCTACATTAATCGCTGCGCTCGGAGGATAATTACTAAATAAGTTTCCCTCAGCCGACTGATGTGGGACACAACTCTGGGGGCTTCAGCTATTAACTGTGTGTGTGTGTGTGTGTGTGTGTGTGTGTGACACAAGATGGAGAACCCACAAACAAGCATCATCACATTAAGGCTGCAACTACAAACAGTAACGTTACAGTAATATATTTAATATTATTATTTTGCAGTCGTTCGTCCCGCATCTTTTTTTTTTTTGCTCTGCGCTCCAACAACAGTTCAACCGTCAACTTTGAGTCAAGTTTAAAAAAAATACGCACCCGGGTTTAGACGATCTGAGGGGATAAAATACAGATATTTGTCCAGGTGTTTGCAGGTTTGTGGGAACCCTGGTCTTAGCACCTGATAGCAGACAGAATTGTTACACTCCCAAAACCCCTGATGGCATTAAAGTTACAACCAGATAACATCATATTGTCCTTATTTTCACAATTATTGTGGGAATTAACATTTTTGCACCACAAATTTTTACTTAAAAAACTATTAAAATCAAGAAAATATTGAAAAATATTGCAATATTTTATTTTGTGATTTTTATATTAAACTTCCAACCACCAGATGGCAGTGCTGTGAACTGAGGGATGTGATGTTGGATGTTACAGTGACTGAGATCAATACAAATACAGATCAACTGTTCTGCTTACATAAGAAAATAAACTCAGATTTTATGCAGATGATGGTTTGTTCTTTATACTATGATAGTTTTCCCAAAACGTTAATTCCGCAATATAGATCGCCTAGCTTACAGTATCACAATATATCAGTATACTGAACTGTAACGGTGTTATATCGTTATATGTATCATCAGGTTCTTGACAGTAAACAGCCCCACTCATGTGACAGCAACTAAAGATTTTTAGGTCAGTGCGTCCCTGCAGTATTTCATTGTAATGCTATTTGTCACATTTTACCTGCAGTTTCTGTGATTTCAATACTTTATATATTGCGATTTTGGTAATTTTTTGATTGATTGTGCCAAGAGATAAAAAAAATCATAAAATAATTCTCACAACTGAGCTGCATTGTTTACATCAGCAGTTCCCAAGCTTATTTTCTATCATTTAGAAACTGACTCAGTCACATATTTTATGGATATTTCATTATATATTTCAACTGATCAATGAACCCAAACAGTGAACTCAGTAACTGCAGGAAGTTTGTGTAAAACCAGAGAGTTGATTACTTCATTCCAGCAGTCAGTGAGGTTGTGTGACGTTTGGAAACAGAAGTAAGACGACATTCAATCAATAACACTGATATTATTGATATTCTATCTGATATTTGTTCAGAGACGCTGTGATATTGGTTGTTTTCCGCTGTGAAAGCAGCAGGTCTGTCAGTGATCTTCAGTCCTCTCAGGGTTGTTACCTTTGTCTTCCTGCCGCCGCCGTTAACGAGTTATTGATTAGAGGAGGCTCGCTCGCTCGCGGCTCAATCAATCGTTTTCGGTGGATTCACCAGAGTGTCGTCTGACAGCGACACCGTCCTGACCTTCACCAACTGGGACTGAGGATCCGGTACAGACTGGAGACCAGCAGAGTCTCAACAGGAAGGAACCATCAGATCAATAAAGTTCTAATGGGGAACTTTATTGTAATACTTTATCTGATATAAATATAGGTGTATTTGTTAACTCCTGCTGTGCCGTAAACAGATAATGAATAATAATCTATAATAAAGCTAAGTTAGAATTATTGTCCAATAACGCAAATTAATAAACATTTATATCTGTTTATATCTGTTTATAAGTGTTTATAGTGTTTATAAACCATTTATTCATTGTTTAAATAGTGCTTATAAATGCTAACTACAAGGGTAAAGAGTTGCCATTTAAAGGATATATACAAAATTCACTGGATGTCACACTGCAGCACCAGCATCTCAAACAACAGGTGCTACGGCTCATTTTATCCCACACATCATCATAACTTCATTCAAAGTGGACAGAAACAGAATAAAACCCATTAAAGGCGTCTCTGTTAGTGTTTCC